ACTGCCCTATCTTTTATACCATCTTTGACCTTTAAGACCTGCACAATACCTGATTTGAAATACTGTACATGTAGAAATCCTCATGACCAAAAGTCACAGATCCAATGAAAAGAAAACCTACAAGCAAGAAACCTTGACCTGCCATAGAGACACAGCTCTGATGAAACTAACACTAATACGGAACAAAAAGATACCACTGAAGAACTCAAGAGTTTTTGAAACCCTCCCATCGAATACCAATAGCTATCTACTCTATAAGTTGATCACAGAAAACCTGCTTTTGAGGAACTGGTCATTGGACAAATTGGCCTTTAGAGAATTTGCCTTTTATAACTAATTTTTGAAGAATTGACCTTGAGCCAATGCTGGATACTGGTACTAGGCACTCTGTAGTGTTTCAGAGCCCCGCCTGTTGAAGTAATCCATAGTTCGTGACTGATCATGGCTCTGGGATATACTTCAGGCAAAAACAAAAACAAAAACAAAAACCAGGTCTAGGTTCAAATAAGTTGATTAAAAGGCAGTGTTTGCAATAAGAAAGGGCTTAAAGGATGTGCCAAGGGATGTCTATCCTGGAATGGGCTAAGGGTCTTGCCCCAGCTGCCTTCTCTCTGTGTCTCATTGTATGTTGTTATTTAGTGAGGGAGAGAAGGATATAGACAGCAATCCCCCTCAAAGAATCAGCACTGGATCCCCAAAATTACAATCCTTATGTGCACTTACTCTGATGGGTTCTGCAATCCCCAAACCCAAACCTCTTCCTTTCATTCTTTTATTTAATTAATACTTATCAAGTGTCTATATCCTGTTCTAGGGGCTGGGAGTATGCTGGTGAACAAGACAGGTAAACTCTCGGCTCTTACCAAGCTTACATTCTAGAATAAAGAAATGAGAGTAAGAAAATACCAGGGGTTGGGAAAGCTGAAACCCCCAGAAGCCTGTGCTATTGTAGGCAACAAGGTGTTTAGTCTTCATTCTGTCTCCCAGCAACATTAGACAAACAGACCAAACAGCAGACCTACTCAAATGCTCAGCATACCTGGAAGAATTTGATTATGAGGGGTGGACAGGAGAGAATGTCTCCATTTGGTCCCATTTCTAAATGGAAACTCACAGTCTTTGATGAATAATGAATGTGAATAATTAATGCATTTGAGAAAGGAAATTTTCTTACCTGTCAGTTACTTATCTTGGAGATTACACATCCATCACTCCTCCCCCGAGGGGCTAGACTCATCTCCATAGAAACTGGGGGCAACCCAGAATGTTAATTATGCCTCAATGCCAGATTTCCCTGCTCAGAATGTGACTCACCGGAAGACCTTCTAGGGCTAGCTTGTTCTGAAAAGTAGAAAATTTAATTTATCTGAAGTATTTTTTTAAAGCCCCAAATAATGAAGTATCTTAATAAGCCTAAGAAACAATTGAGAGACTGACTCTGTGTGTGCACACACTTAAGAAAATATTGCATAGAAACATATGCATCCTCTGGGCAAGAGACTGAATGGAATAAATGGATCCTTGATCGATCCAGCACCTAGAACAATGACAAACACAGAGTAGATGCTTCTTGAATATTACTGTTATTGTTGAATATTGTTGAAAGAACCACTGATTCTGTGCTGAGATAATACAACAATTCTCATTTTCATGGTGACATTGTACACAATGTCCTTTTCATACACGTTATTTCATTTATTCTTTATGACAACTTGAAAAACAGGTCTACGATACATTATCCATAAATTTTTTAAAACTCTAAAATCAAAAGTTTAAGGGAAACACATGTGATGAAAAGCCTGATTTGAATTGAAATGAGCCTATTCATAGTCTTCATCCTACTTATGTAAATATTTATACATTTTGCTACAGAAATATTAATACATTTGCATTTGGAGGACTTCCTAGGTCCTGTCAGGCTTTTCCTTTCTTTTTTTAAAATCTACATATCATATGTAACATATTACCTTTCTAAAATCTAAAACATTCAGAATTCCAAAAAACACATCTTGCCCCAAGAATTTTGGTGGCAAAAATCACAGGTTCACATTGTCATCCCACTTTTATAACCGGGACTCTTTGACTCAGGAAAGCTAAGCAATTTACCCACAATCACAGAGCTAGTAAATTGATACTTAAACCAAAATCCTCTAATGCCAAGTCTTTGCAGTTTTATTTTCCCAACTACACTACACTTCAAACAATTAAACTGAAATTAAGATTATTAGGTATTAAGATAATTAAGGATTAAGATAATTGTCTATCTCACTGACATAAAAGAGGTAAAATTATCAGAAGTAGCACAGACTTGGTCAGTGCAGCAGAAACCAAAACAGAGCAAATGGAGCTGGGTGAGGGCTGTCTCACATGGAGAGACCTCTGCTCCCCGAAGGAAATGACTTCTGAAACTTAAATCTCATTCTCCAGCACCTAAAGTGCACATGAAGTAGGAGCTGACGAAGGGTTGTCTGGCAGACTTCTCTGAATAAGCCAGACGTGACCCACATGATATTGTCATACCACATCCATGTTTCCTTTGCTTTTTTATTTTATTTATTTATTTTTTAAATAGTTTATTATCAAGTTGGTTTCCATATAACAGCCAGTGCTCACATTTTTTTTTTCTCATCACCAACGTTTATCTGAGAGTTAATGAGACTTAGATCTCTCTCTTGGGAAGAAAGAATAAGAAGACTAAATTATAAGGCTGGCACTTCTATCAGTCAGGATAGTCTAGGTTATGCTCTGGTAACAAACAACCCACAAGGCTATTTGACTTAAAACAACAAAGGTTTGTTTCTTGCTCATATTACATGTTTATCACAAGAAGACAGGAGACGCTCCATTCATTGTAATCATTCTGGGACCCAGGATGACAATGCAGCCACTCTTCCAAACATTGTTAGTTGCCTGACAGAGGAAAAAAGAAGGCATGTATGCCCTGGCTTTTTAAGCTTCTACACAAGACTGATATGTTGTCACCTACAATCACCTGGTTCATTGGCCAAAGTAAGCCATCTAGTTATATCCAACATCAAATGGAGGAAGTTCAAAATTTGAGGCTTTCAAGATTTTCAATACACCTGCCTACTCAATAAATACTTTCTTGAGTGCCTGCTAGTGCTAAGCACTATTCTATGCACTGGGGATTTAAAAAAAAAAAAAAATTGAGTGCTATGAAGAAAAATAAAGTGGAGCAATGGGTGGTGAGTGATAGGGTTGGGGAAGAAGAGGTGAAAAGCAAGTTCAGGGAAGAATTCTCTCAATAAGAGACCTGGAGGAATTGATAGAGGGAGCCAAGTAAGGGAAATTCTACCTTTGAGGCCAAAGCAAGACACAAAGAACTCAAAGTCCAGGAAAATCCAGCATGATTCCTAAAGTAGAGACAGAGGGGTAAAGCATCAACAGTGTGTATCTGTGGGACTGAAAAATAGTTGGGCTCATTCTCTTCAAGCCCTGTAGTATACTATCCCACTTCCTTCTTTTTCTGACTGAAAAAACATAGGCAGCAGAACACTTCCTTCTTCCTGTGGTTAAGTAACATGCAAAAGTGTTTTACTTGAGGAGAGAAGAGCGATCAGCTAGTGTTCTGTAAATAAATAAAACTATCCATTTATTGATGGAAATCTATACCCCATGAAGGGTCCTGGGTATTTTAGATAGTTCATTTTATTGGATAAGGTTGTTGTAGAAAGGAAAAGAAACATAGGATTATTATTATCATTTTACAAATGCAAATGCTATTAACAAGGGTTAACTGACTTTCTAAAAAGGTGTGCAGGGTTTCTTGTGGCAGATAATTTGACTCCCAAGCTTGTATTCTAAATTGTCATGAAACATAGTGAACTTTAGACTACTTTTGGAGGGAAAATTTGTGAAAATCCACATCTACATGAATTCTTATTTGATAACTTAAAGACAGAATTGCCCCTGTTACAAGAAAAAAGGAATGTTATTTAGATATCTTTGCAACAGTGATCATGTCTTCCTATAGAGAAGACTGAACCCATGGCTGCTTCATCACATACTCATCCAAAGGTCACCTTCTCAGTGAACTTTCCCCTGATTACACTATTTAAAATTGCAATGCTGCCTCCTCAGTACTTCCTACCTCCTTCTCTGGCTGTGTTTCTCCCCACAGCATTTATCACCTTCTTATAAACTATGTGATTTATTTGTTCACTGTATGTTGCCTACCACTTGAAAGTAAGCTCATGGATGAAGGGAATTCTTGTACGCTTTTTTAAAAATCACTTTTATTTCCCCTAGAGTGTAGAAAAGAACCGTATACTCAATCAGTAATTATGAATGAATGGTCAGAATGGATGGATGGATGGATGGATGGATGGATAGATGAAAGGATTCAGAGAATGATCTCTTACTTGAGCAAGAGTTTTTAACCTGAGGTACATTAATGGGTTTAAGCATAAAATTATGTGCAGTTGTGTGGGGGGAAGAGTCAGTTGTGTGTGTAGAGTCAGTCTCAAAGAAGTCAATGACCCAAAGGTTAAAAACCAATTTGTGTGGTATATCCATACAGTGGAATCTTATTCAGCCATAAGAAGAAATGAAGTCCACAGGTCACCTGGGTGGCTCAGTTGGCTAAGCATCTGACTTTTGATTTCAGTTCAGGTCATGATCTCATGGTTCATGGGAGTAAGCCCCATGTCAGGCTCTGGAGTAATAGTCTCTGCTTGGGATTCTCTCTCTCTCTGCCCCTCCATTTCTCTTCTCTCTCTCTCAAAAATAAATAAATAAACATTTTTAAAAAAGGAATGAAGTCCTAATTCTTGCTACATGGATGAAGCTTGGAAACATTACACTAAGTGAGTGAGGCCAGACACAAAAGATCACATACTGTGTGATTCTTTTTACATGAAATGACCAGAGTAGGCAAATCTATACAGACGGGACATAGTTTAGTGGTTGTCTGGGGCTCAGGGGAGAAGTGAGGGCAAAACAGGGAGCAATTGCTTAACGGATATGGGATTTTCTTTCAGGGTGATGACAACATCTTGGAGTTAGATAGTGGTCATGGTTGCACAATACTGTGAGTACACTAAATACCAATGAATTGTATATTTTTAGATGGTTAAAATCGTACTTTTTATGTTATGTGTTTTAGCACAACTTTTTCAAAAAAGAACAAGGGAATGTGAATAAGGGAAAGAAAGAGATGACAAAGATGAGGCAAGTCCTTTCATACATCGAACAGGATGGATGAGGGGATCTAAGTCTGAAAACTGTCAGTTGCAATCAAACATTCTAAGAATATATGGAATTGGAATATATATAATACTAGGAAGAACAACTTATATTTGTATCAAGTTTTGCAGTTTGGGTCAAATTTCCAAGTGTATTATTTAACTTAACTCCTAGAAAAGAAACTTGTGAGGTGGGGAAGGGGTGGCTACAATTCTATGATTATCTCCATTTTATAAATGAGAATAAAGGTTCAGAGATGTGAAGTAATTTTCCCAAAGTCACATAGCTACTGATGGTAAAATAAGGATCTAAACCCAGGTCTGTCTATGCTTTTGGCAAATTGGTTCCTCCAGCTCTTTTCAACCTTTCAGTATCTTTCCAGAAATCACAAGTTTTCCTGTGGTAAGTCTTCCCAGGTGAAGTCAAAAGCCAAGTTTCTTCTCTAACATTTGGAATTACAACCCTTTAGTGTAGTCACACTGAGAACTTCACTGTGACCAGAAGTTCTGACTAGAAATTATATGCATCCATGATAAATGATAGCACTAGGAAAAATAGGTTTTTACTTATGTAAATTTTTGAGAGTGAGAATGTTCTAAAATGTGGAGTCAATGGTAAGAAAATGGTAATCAAAGCTAATGAATGAAACCCAACTTCTTCATTTTACAAATGACAAAAGTCAGGCACAACGAGGCTTGTCGAAGATGACAGAGTTAGTGTCAGAGGTAAGATTGGAATGCAAGACTTTTAAATGCTCTGTAAAAGCACAGGGTTCCTAGGAAACCACCCTTCCAACAGCCTTCTCTTCTCTGAGAAGAGATTATTTATTTAGTTTGTGTAGTTAGCAGGTCCGCGAATACGCTGACATTTATCATAAACACGGAAAGGGAGAATTAGAGATTCAGTGATAATAAATAACCCAAATGCTTAAATTTAGCCTCAGATGAATCTGTTTTCTACCTTTTGTCATCCCCATTGGGCTGAAGCACACGGACACAGTGACTTTTCTGTTTTACCCAGGAGTGGTTAATTATCCAGAATTTACCAGTCATGGTTTGTAAACACAGTTGGTGGTGGGGTGAATAATGTAGATCCGTAGTGCCACTTCCACCCCTGGTGACACAGATGGTCAGAGCTAAAGGGGCCTTAGAGACCTTGCAGTCTGGGGTTTCCCAGCCACAGTCAGCTGACCTCCAGGGAGTTACTGACTTGAGTCTGTGTCCAACTCCACCTTCCTTCTCAGAGACAGAGCCTCTGTTTTGCTCCCATCCCCCTTTCTCATCTTCCGCTCCCTCACTCTGAGGTAGGTTGAGGTGCAATAAATGCTTCTAAGATGGAGCGTCGGTCATCTTAGGGAAGATGTGGAGGAGAAAACTTAAAAAAGGAGAAAGCACCTGCTAGAACAAAGTTAATTTAGCAAAGCTCCTCGGTGTACACTTTAAGTTGGAAGGAACACATTCAAAATAATGTAAACTAAAGCTTCACTTCCCATATGAAGAAAGTCAGTCACAGAGAATGGATGTGATTTGCCAAAGCTACAAAGTCAGGAAGTGGCAAAGTCAACACTAGCACTCAGATCCTCCAAATCCTAATCCAGTGCCTTTTCATGATACTTTTTCTCAGTTTCCATTGTTCTCTTTTACGTAAAATAACCATGATTCATAACCCACCAGTGCCACATCAGGCATTGACTATATGACATTGTCTGCAGGTTTCACAGAGTATATTCTGACACTCAAGGACATATGAGTTAAGCCAAGGATTTTTGTCTTGTATAACTGTATCTCCTCGTAACTAGTATAGGCTCTGTCTCATAGGAAGTACGCATGACTTTTTTTTTTTGATGGAATGGATGCTATGGATGGGACAAGTGGGCTTCCACCATGGCTATTAAGGTCTCTTATGACATGCCATCCTTTCCTCAGGGCAAAAGCCTTCTCTTTGTGTCCCCTCCCCTCCACCCCTCATTTTCCCTCTGTGAAAACATTTTTTAAGCCTCAGTCAATAGCTACCTCCTGTTATCTCTAGCAGAAAGGGAACTGATAAGACTAGCATCAAACAGCCTTCAATATGCATGCCACCCTAACTAATGTATGATATGCACTGACTGTATGATATGGATGTGTTACTTAATCTTTCTGAGATTCACCTTAACCAACTATAAAAGAGTTCATAATACCAACCTCATTTGATTCTTCTGTAGAAGAAATAATATATGTAAATTTTCTAGCACAGCATATGCCACATGGTAACTACTTAACAAATGTTAATTCCCTTCATCTGGTCGATTCCTCCCTTAAAAGTGTCCCATGGCTCTCTGCTTACTCTTCACCTGTTTATTATGCACTATTTTACAAATTATTGATAACTTCAGAATACTTCTGTCTTCCCGCTAGATCATAAACTATCTTGAAGGCATTACTATATCAAGAAATCTTTGCATTTAACTCAACGTGACTTCCCACAGAATCTAGAAGGATGGCCAGCACAAATGTGGCACGTAAAACTTATTTTTGTAGAATTGAATTGAAGTGTGTGTGGGTGGTGATGATGGGGAGTGCATAGTGTATCTGGCCCTTTCGACAGTTTGTCTGAAAAGTAATAACCCTTATGCTGGTGTCTTATGTAGTTCTTCATGTTATGTTTATTTTTCTCCCTAAAAACAGGTAGCCAGGTGTTTGGCAATGACATCCTTCCATTCAAAGTGAGCATCTGAAGAGCTGACGCCCCCTCAGTGAGTGACCAAGCTATATTTATGTGTTGGGTCCTCATGCCCCCACGAAGAGGAAGTGGTATTTCAGGGATGACAGATGACAATGTGACGTCACCCATCTCCGTCAGTGCTCATTTCATTTCTTCAATTTCAGCAAAGAAATTATAGAAAAGGTTGTTCCTTTATCACATGGGTGACCTATTTTTTATTCTTTATTAATGAAAATAGGGAAGGTTCTCTTCACCCTGCCCTTTACTATTGAGCTTCCCATTTCTGCCTTTACCTCATCCCACCTTTCTGGAGGAAATAAAGGCCAATAACTGAAACGCAAATGGTAAATTCACAGATTACATCTATCTATATTATAATCTAAAAAAAAAGTAAAGAACCAAAAAAATTTTTAAAGAATTAAAGTATGGATACACATGCCTTCTTAAGATAATAATTAAGATTACCAAATGTTTATAGATTATTATCAGACAGCAATTATTGAGCTCTTGTTATGATCAGGTTTACGTGCTCTATCTTTGCTTACTTCATCTATTCCTCAACTAGCCCTATACGGAGGGTGGTATTAACTTGTCCAAAATCTCATATATAGCTGGCAAGAGTCAGGGAGATTTGCATCTATACTTGTCTGAATCAAGAGGATGCATTTATAATCATTACCCATACTGCCTCACCCATCCATGTGAAGAATTGAGTCATGAGTTAGCAATATGGAAATTAATGACACATAGCCCTCTCCCTCAAGAAGAAACTAACAATGTAGAATATACATACATATACATATATATTCAAGAGAAAGAGAGAATATATATATACACATACACAAAAGAGTGATTGGTGTTATGTTCATACTACTAAAAAGGAGCTATGGAAGTTCCCAAGAGGCAAAACTGAACTGAATTCTAAGGTCTGGATAATGGAGAAAACTCAACATCTAATCTATACCAGAGGTTGTTCTGGGAACTTTCATATAAGTGATGTTACACCATTTTATTTAATGCAAAGTACTCCTGTGTGATAAGTGGGTAGTACTATCCCTATTTTACAGATGTGGAAACCATGTCTCATATGATAATAGCAAATAGATATCTAGCACTTATGATATATTGGATGTTATTCTAAGAACTACATGTATTAATCCTCACAATGATTCAACCATACAGGTGCAGAGCCCATTTTAGAGATGAGGAACCTGATTTCCAGAGTGTTTAAGTCATTTTCCCAAGGTCCTATCACCAGTAAGAGTCACCAGTAAGAGGTAAAGCCAGGTGGAGGGGTAAAGCCAAATAGAGGGGTTCTTGTTTTCAACCATCATGTTATTGCTCTGTAGTGGGAAAGTAAGATGCCCAAAGTTACCGCCTAGAAAGGTGAGCCAGGATTTGACCCACACCTGCCTTTAAAAAAAATACATTTAAAATATCTTATACCATAAAAGAGACTGGAAATATAGGTTGAAGTAAAATACCCTGAATGCCACAGCAAAGGCAAGAATTCTATTCTATGGCAAGGGAAACCCTCAAAAGACTTTGAGCAGAAAATTAAAAATCAATATGATTAAATCTGCACTGAGGAGGAAAGAAAGCTCACTAGAATGTAAAGAATGAGTCAGAAATGGATGAGGCAGAAAGTAATGAGCCCTGTTAGGAGGATTCTGCAAAAGTCCTAATGATGAAGGTCTGAGAGAGGACAGGTCACAATTAACAGAGAACATGGGAGGGAATATTCAAGAGAATTTTCAGAAATGGCTTTGGCAGGACTTACCCAATGTAGAGAGAGAGGGACAACTCAAAGAGGAGCCCAAAGTTTGTAGCTTAAATAACTGAGAGAATGGTGGTACTCTTAACTGATCTGGATAACATGGAGAGATAAGAAAGTTGGGAACATGTTGAGTTTCTGGTGCCTATAAATCCTGTGAAGCTAACCAGGAGAGAGTCATTTCAGGAAATAAGAATTATTTAGTCTCTTGGTCTCTGAGAGAAATCCTCTTAAGTAGCTTTCAGAATTGAATAAACCTATCTGCTCTTTATAAGTCATTCTAGCCAATAAAGCAGCAATTGTGACCTCTTTTCTGCAGCAATGCATGTGGGATGCCATTCACAAACACAGCGTCCCCTTAGCTATGCCCACGATGTTGTAGAATCCTCAAGGTAAGCGACACAGGTGGCACACAACTATACACAATTTTCAGAGTATGAGCTGTCATACTAAAACACACAGCTTTTTTTCCCCTTAAGTATATCTAATAACATGAGAAAATGTTTAGAAGGTAATCAGATTAAGTGGGGTAAAAAGCAGAGAACAAAAAACACATATAATGTATTCCAAAAAACATAATATACATATATATGACACACAGAAAGAGCACTAGAAGGAAATGCACCAAAATGTTAACAGTGGTCCTTCATTGAGTAAATACTTATGGAACACCTGTAGTATGCCAGGCGTTGTGCTATTCATTATGTATGGTGAGAAAAAGGGACTTATTTGATGCCCTCATATAGCTTCCTTCTAGCCTTTTTTAGTTGACTGAGTCTTTGCTCTCAATCATCATATTAGTGTTCCATAGGGGTAAAGTAAGGTGCCCCAAATTACCAGCTAGAAAGGGAGCAGAGTCAGGACTTGAACCATGTCTGTTCCACACCCATATGGACACCAATTCGTTTGTGGGTTACATGTTTAGTGGTGCAAGTGTTTCTAAAACATTCAAAGTTCTCACAGAAATGACTCTCTTTTGCCGTCATGTTTCCTTCATTTACATAACTTGTAATTAAATTCTATAATTACAACAAGGATAACTGTCATTTCTGTATATGTGAATAAACACAACTGATTCTTGTTGAGCATGGACCCCTCTGGAAGGGGTACAAGTACCTGAGCACACTAAAGAAGAGCCCACTGGCTTCCAGCATTCGTCATGAAGACATTAGTTTGGCATAACTTAGAGAAGTAATCAAGAGAATATATCAAGCCACTAAGTCAACTAAATGAAAATTGATTAAGAGAACCTATATTGTCACATTTCCAGTCATGCAGCTTGAGATTACTATAACATTAGGCAGCCAGTTAAATCATATTGACCTCTTGTCGGTTAAAATCTTGTTTCCATCATTATTACCTGCCACTAAGTCATAATTTTGTGCTTGTTATTTGTTGAATTGTGTCCTCCCAAAATTCATATGTTGAAGTACTAACCCCAGCTGCCCATCCCAGTACCACAGAATGTGACTTTATTTGGAGATAGGGCCTTTAGAGAAGTAATTAAGGCAAAATGAGGTCATATGAGTGGGTTCTAATCCAATATGACTGGTGTTATTACAGGAGGAGATTAAGACACAGACAACACACAGATGGAAGGGCAGCCACATGAGGACACAGCAAGAAGGTGGCTATCCACAAGCCAAGGGAAGAGGCCTCTAAAGAAACCAACCCTGCTGACACCTTGATCTTGGACTTCCAGCCTCCAGAACTTTGAGAAAATAAATTTCTGTTGTTTAAGCCATTAAGTCTGTTGTATTTTGTGATAGAAGCTGTAGCAAATTAATACAGTGCTTCCCTCAGTGGCTGGCATATGGTCAGCACTCAAATATTGATATAAATGAGTGAGTGAAGACTGTATATGTCTCCTATCCTGCATTTCTATGGTTGATATTTTGAGGATCTTTAAAAAAGAAGTTTAGGGGCTCCTGGGTGGCTCAGTCAGGTAAGTGTCTAACTCTTGATCTCAGCTCAGATCTTGATCTCAGAATTGTGAATTCAAGCCCTGTACTGGATTCCACACTGAGTGTGAAGCCTATTTTTAAAAAAATATATACATATATATATGCATATGTGTATATACATTTAAGAATAAGTTTAATAAGCATAGGTGTGCTCTAGTTATCTGCCAGCACTGAGATTTTAAAATAAGAAAGTAGATCTTCTCTTTGATTCATTTCTACCTCTTGATCCTAGGACTTAGAAAACATGTTCCTATAAATTCCAATTTAAGAACATGTCAAATGATCAGAACAGAAATTCCAGTACTATTGGAACAGAGCCAGTCTTCAACAGATCCAAGAAAACCTTGAGCTCCTTCATTCTGGGTAACGATGTCTCATGGGACTTCACTGAGGCCCCTGGTACAAGGCTGGGATGTGAAATGGCCAGAAAAATTGGCAGTCAAGAAAATCTTCAAGGGCTTTGATACGTGGTATATAAGGTCATGGGAACCAAGGTTGAACTTTCTCCCCTCTTCTTCCTAAGGACAAGAACTAATGTACTTGAAGAAGCCAACACACCACCTGGATCTGCCCTTAGCAATGTGACCTCAAAATTGGACTGGTAAATTGTCTAGATTATAAGCATTAGCATAGAATGCCAGAGTCCACATGATCTCCAAGAGTATGTGGCCCAGCCTTCTCAATTTTCAAGGAAGAAAATTGAGTCCTCAAAAGAGGAAAGATCTACCCTATGCTTGCCATCATCATTTCTTAAGCCTTTGCCTTAGAAGCCAAAGTTAAACATTTCAATCTTCGTACTATTACTTTTGAAAGAGAGCTTCTTCTCCAATATCCCTAGTGAATGGCCACTAGAACTTGCTCAAACATTTCTGGAGATGGGGAACTCATTGTTCCTTGAGGTAGTAAGACTATCTTTGGACAGAGCCAATTGTTAATTCTTTTTATTGAGCCCAAGTCTGTCTCTCTGCATCTTCTACCCATTGGTTCTCATTATGCCTTCCTAAGTACATCTAACTCCTCATTTGCATGGTGGCCTTTAGATGTCTGAAGACAAAGAAGACTTTTAACATTATTTCATATGTCATGGTTTTGAGCTCTCTACTCATCCTTGTCACTATTGTGTACAACTTTAAGTCCTTATAAAGACCAGTTAGTGACATACCAAAAACCAGAAATATAATATTGTAGCTAATGAACACTGGTCCCTTGACCTGGAATAAAATTAAATATGAATACCCCTAAATAAATGGGAAAAGTGGAATGGGATTGCTTACCAGTAAAAAAAAAAAAAGATAACCCCTTCCAGATTCTAGTTGTCTTGCCTGAAACTCTGAAAAACTCCTAAGCCTATTTCAAGAAGCGCCTAAGTCTTCCCTGGGTTCCTCCCTGTATACTGGTCATCACTTCTCCTGTCACTTTTTCCCCCAAACCTCCAGTGGGTCTTGGACTTGGATGTGTGGAAGGATAATACATGAAGCTTCAAGAATTTGCCAAACTTTTTCCAAGGGAAGCAACCCAACTAATTTTCTGACTTTCTCTTGCTATTCCCCTACCAATACACTTATTATAGAAGTGAAAACAATAAGACTGGTACCTATGCTGAAGATCTTTCATGAGCAAGACCCATAAAAACTAACTACCCAGGAGGCACTCCTTACTGAGTGAGTCTTGGCAAACTGACCCAACCAAATCCTCTTTATTGGGAAGCAAAATGAGCCAAATAAACAGCAAAGGGCCACCAGACCTTAGCAGTTTTCTTTAACTGCTTGAGACAGGATGGAGAAGAAATGAAAGCCCGGGTGACCAAGTGGTGGACAAAGAGACATTCTCATATTTCCTTGTAATCAATCTGCATGTCTAATATGAAAACTTCAGAGTAGAAGGTTTTGAAGTCTGTTTGTTCCTGCTTTCCACCCCCTCAAAGTTGAATATGTTTACATAATGACTTTTCTTCATTCTCATGTCTCCATGTCTAGGACGGACATCCTTAACAAGGTTTTGATTTTACCTTGTCTGATAAATGAAACTTATTTAAATTGCAATGTACCATGTTGGGCCCTAGATACTGTGAGGTTATAAAAGGATATGAAAGTCTTTGGGATGTGGGAAAGTCCAAATGATTAGAGATCTCTAAAGAAAAAGTGAATGTATTGAGGGTTTTTTCATTGAAGAAGATAATCCCCCCCACCCCATAATGCCATAGAGGCAGAGATTCCCCTTTGCTTCTTTTGTTCATTTTGGGATATGACAGGGAGGGAGGAGGTTAGAAAGTAGAAAGAAGGGCACCTGGCTGGTTCAGTTAGTAGAGCATGCGACTCTTGGTCTTCAGGTTGTGAGTTTGAGCCCCATGTTGTGCGTAGGGATTACTTAAAAATTAAGTCTCAAAAAAAAAAAAAGTGGCAAGAAAAGAATAGGCCCCAGCTAAGCTCAAACTCCAGAAGCTTCTATCTGGCCAGAAATAAATACCTTGCTTTCCATTTCAACACATAAGTATCATGTGAAACATATTCAGAGGAAATAAAGGTTTAGACAAAAGAAATCATTCAACAAATTAATTCAGTATCTGACCAAGTAGTTGAAGATGTAGTGATAGAGTATACATGGTTTTTGCTGTCATGGAGTTTATAATCAAATGATCCTTGCTGTGACTTCAATTGATTTTACAAATAGTAGTCTTTACAAACGGTAGTGTTGAGGGAGTAAAACAATCAATCATGCCCTAAACATCTTGCTAAGGGCTGAATATTTGTGTTCTCCCAAAATTCATATATTAAAACTCTAACACCCAATGTGATGGTATTAGGAGGTGAGGCCATTGGGAGGTAATTAGGTCATGAGGGTAGAGCTCTCAGGATGGATCAGTGTCTTCATAAGAAAGGACAAGAGAAAACTTGCTTTCTCTCTTTGCTCTCTACCATGTGAGGATACAACCAAAAGACAGTCATCTGCAAACCAGGAAGCAGGCCCTCAGGAAGAACTAAATTGGGCAACACCTTGATCGTGGAATTCCAGTCCCTAATACTGTGAGAAGTAAATGTCTGCTGTTTAAGCTACCTAGTCTATGGGTGTTTTTGTTATAGCAGCCTGAAAAAGACATATCTACATGTGCCTAGCCATGGGCACACACCACTGGGGAGGGAGTGGTATAAAAAAGATTATAAAATGTGGGCTGTGTCCATGATGAGCTAAAAATCTAATTGGGAAAATAAGATACCCATTGTGAAACTGTTGGCCAACAGAACAGTTTAAAGTAAAGTGCTAGATGGAGTGATACAGCTGCTTAATAACTAGAAAATTTACAATAAAATGTTAAGTATATGTATGGTCTTGGCAACAAATTTTGAAGAAGTTTAAAGAAAGACAATATAGAGTCAAGATATCAGAAAAGACTTTATCAAGAAAGTGGTGCCAGAGTTAAGTCTTAAAGGATGGTCAGGAGGGGGTGGGCATTCTGGTCAAGAACAAAGGCATAGTGGCAAACAAACAAACAAAACAAAACAAACAAACAAACAAACAAAAAACCCTGACAGTCACTGGGTAGGGATAACAGAGAAAAACCAATTAAATAACCACAAATTGTGAATGTTATAAAACAAAACCAAACAATTCAGATCACACCTAACAAACAAAATTATAATAGAAATACTATGTCTGCTCCCCAAACACATGCACATTCTAACACATTCTTGGAAAGAGTGCTGTAACATTGATTTATATCTGACAGTCCAAGTAAAAAATGAAAGCGCTGCCAAATCTGCCTATATAAATCCCAGTGATTTCACATGTTTTTATCCTATGAACTGAAGGCAGAAAAAAAAGATTTAAGCCTTTGAGACAGCAGACAATAAAAGGGTACCCTAGTGAAGCTTCTCTGCGGAGCCACTAGAATCATATTTATCATGTCCAAGACTGACATTAATTCTAATGTGCAGACACTCTTCAGCATTCAGATGCACAATATTAAATAACTCTAACAGGTGAATGTATTGAGTTATGCAGTGGTACACTGAGTTGTACAGAGGGACCATATAATGGCTGTATTATGCAGAATCAAACACTCCATAGAAGCCACATTACGCTTCTTCTGTTGACAGATGGATGATTGACAAGACCCTCCTCCAAAATCTTCCTGGATAAAAGTGTTTCTCTTTTGCCTTGTGGTGTCAAACCCTTGGGCTACAAATGCCTTGAGCAACTGATCAGAACCAAAACAACTACCTAAATGAGAAGTCTGGGCCATGCTTGTAGGTAATCCTGACTGGTTCATGAAAAGGAGGACTGATCCTCTGTCTTGGTGAGATTACCAGTCCAAATCCCTAGCTATTGGAAGAAAACATCATTGCTGATGCTTCTTGCTCTTACAGAGAACCGCCTGCCTTCCTGACCTCACTGGAGAGCCCCAATTATTAGCTAACAAGCTACTGCTCTAATCAAAAGCCCCAAAAGAAATGTAAGGATCTGGGGCAGAGCCAGAAATCTGCATTTCTAATAAGCATCCCCAGGTACTAGTTTCCTAATTTGGTTGATCACTAGAAGCATCTGGAGCAGTTGCAAAGTGTGAATTCTCAAAACATACCCCAGACCTCCTGAATTGAATCTCCCACAGTTTGTAAACGATGACTGAAGTGATAGATCATTATGCTGTTCAGAATTGTTTATATAACAATGAAAGTGAGAGATTCCAGTTGATATAGATGTCACTTCTCTAATTGTTTGCTTCCTTTTACAAGAAAGGAAGA